AAATTAAATTTCTAATTTAATTTGGCAAATACTAAATTTCCTTGATACAAGCCTAGCCTCACCTGGCAATTTGAATCATGGGTTGCAGAAAGGTAAGCAACTTGCCAAAAGTCTGGCAGACAGAATGTGGGATAGTGAAGACTGAAACTCAGCCTAGATTCAGGGGTCTTGCTCCTAACCAACATTGTATGCTGAACATGCACAAAAGCTTTTCCTATTTCCTATTCCTCACCTTAGTAAATGGCACTATCACTCACCAACACTGCTCAAAACAAAAAACCTATATCTCATTCTAAACTCTTCTCTCTGCCTTATCCCCTCCTATTTAATCAGTCATCAGGTCTTACATACACTAGCAGCTAAATTTCTCTCAGTTGTCCTCTGTATATATAGGCTGCCCCTTTCTTAATTTAGGCTTGTAGCTTTTCTTCCTTGAACTATTGCAGCAGTTCTACTCTTAACCTTCAACTTTGTGTTGCAGCCAGAGCAATTCCTTTAAGTGAAAACACCTGATCATTTACTCTCCTATTTCCCACAATACTGAGTCTAAACTTTTTAGTATGGTCTTTCAAAGCCCTTCATGTGCAGGCAATTGTCTTCTTCCAGACTCATTTCCTGGAGCTCTCCACATATGGCCTACATGCTAATAAGACTGAAGGGCTTGATGTCCAAAGGTAACAGCAATTTCATGCAACAACCTTTGTTTGGCATACACCTCTACATGCTTTGTCTATCTGGCAAAAGTGTATGCCTTCAACATTATTCTTCATGAAAGCTTCTTCCTTGATCTCTTTAGTCTGCCTTTTCGGCTGCCATAGAACTTTGTACAACATAACCCAACTGTACCACTTATGTCCATGGAAATGGAACAGATACACTACAGTGAGTAACTTAAGATCAGAGATAATACTCTATTCTTTATTTTCCCAGAACTTCGCCTATAAGCACAGGATTCAAGAAGCTAGGCTCATAGAAAACTTAAATCTTAAATTCTTTACAATGAGATTTTATAGGACTCAATTTTCTTAAATTTTAAAATGAAATATTATATGCATCTTTTATATTACTTTTCTAAACCAAGTATTATCTTTGGGTCAGTAGTCCATTTTTGCTGAACAACACTCTACTGACTCTTAAAAAATCGAAGTCCCAACTGTAGAAATAGACAGAAATCAACATATTTAACACCAACAAAGAAGTAAACCTGAGTTTCTCACCAAAAATATCAAAGACATAGTTCTGTCTTCTTAGCATCTTTCTCATCCTACTTTTAAGGGTAATATTAGCACCCTCCTTTCCTTTGGGAAACTCCCCTTTGACTCCTGGTGGCTCATGGGGAGCTGATAATGAGGATACACAAGTGAGCAGCCGTGTGTCAGTAAGAACCTCACTCACATCACATCACAGGGAAAGGAATTGGTTCAGAAATGAACTGGTGACCTAAGTCAGGAAAATCAGAGTTCATCCTAGGAGGTTTTTTTGTTTTCCTGGCAGAACTGGTTAGAAAAAAATCCCCATTGCTTCTGGGACTATAGTATGGAGAAACAGTTATGTTTGCTGCTGCTGCCATACATTTTTCCCTGGTTATATGGAGAAAGCCTATCTGGGAATCAGGGGATGAAAAATCACAAGAGAAACACCAAAGGGGGTGGGTAAGAGAAAGGAGGAAAAGAGGGGAGGAAAAAGAAAAAAAAGGAAATGGAGATAAAGAAAGAAAAAGAAATAAAGAGGAGAAAAAAATCTGATGACATCATCTGAGCCTATATGTCCAAGCTGGGCACACAGGCAGTTTTACTTCTGGACAATCCAGGTAGAAAAGGCATAAATTGTCACCTTTGCTTGCTTTGACTTAGATTTCTAAAAGTTCCAACTGAGTGACTCTTGACAAATCAAGAGACGCATCTACATTTTTTACATTGTTCCCTTTCCAAGAAAGTACAAAACCCATTTAATGACATTAATGGTATTTTTGCATGTAATTCTAAAATTTTAAAATTATCCTTAAGTTTTTGATCAAATTACAGAAGTTATTAAACTTATCCAATGTGACAGTCAGTAAAAGGACATAAAAGCATCTTAGGACAGTTAGGAATAGCATGCAATTATGATCTCAGTGAAAAATGACAGACCTTCATTTTCAATAGCACTTTCTCTGACACATAAAAGATCCTACCTGGTAAAAAAAAAAGATCCAAGACAAAAGAAACATCTACTAAACTATATGACATTCTGTTAATGTCTGTTTTTTCTCCTGGGGTCTGTATTATTACTCAAGCTTATGATGTCTGGCAGGATCAATATCTACAGTGATATGACAGCAAATGGTTTACTTACTTATAATGACAAATTTCACTTAAATGTATTACTCCCCAATTATTATTAGCCATTAGAAAAGTACAAATTAAAACCACAATGAGAAATCACTACAATCAGATGACTAAAATAAAAATATAAACAATATATACAAATATAAGTGGCTACAAATATAAGTGGCTACAATAAAAATAAAAAACAGTGACAACACCAAATGCTGGTTAGTATGTGGAGAAACTGGATTATATCATCAAATTGCTCATGGCTATGTTAAATGATACAGTCACTCTACAAAACAGTTTGGTAGTACCTTAAAAACCTAAGCATGCAGTTTCAAAATGACCCAGGAAATGCATTCCTGGACATTTATTAAACAGAATGAAAACTTATATTCACACAAAAACCTGTATACCGGGTTTATAACTGCTTTATCTGTGTTATGGAAAGAACTATGCCCTTCAAAATTTGTATGCTGAAACCCTCACCCCTCAATGTGACTGTTTTAAAGACAGGACTTTTAGGGAGGTAATTACGGTTAAATGAAGTCATGAGGGTGGGGTCCTAACCTGATAGGGCTGGGGACCCTGAAAAAAGAGGAAGAAACACCAGAGGTCTCTCTTCATACACACACAGAAAAGAGGCTATGTGCGAACACAAGAAGAAGGCAGAAGGTAACTACCTGCAAGCCAAGAAGAAATCCTCACCAGAAACAAAATTTGCTAGCAACCACCTGATCTGTGACTTTTAGCCTCCAGAGCTGTGAGAAAATCGGTTTCTGCTCTTTAAGTCACCTGGTCTGTGGTCTTTTTTATAGCAGACGAATACACCAAAAACTATCAGTAAAATAAATGTCCTTCAATAGGTGAATAGTTAAAAAAAAAAAAAACTGTGGTCATCTACAACACGTGTGGTAGGCAGAATAATGATGCCCACCAAAAATCTCCACATCCTAATCCACAGAGTCTATGAATATATTAGATTACATAAGATATGGACACTACAGTGGCAGAGGGAATTAACCTACTCAGAAAAACTCTTTTACTCCAATAATCCAAATAAAAATGAACAAAATACTTATTTAGAAATAATTATGATAGAAAAGTTAAAAAGCCTGCTTCATTCATTATTAATTTAAATAAATGTCAATGATGCTTTTTTAAAAATTTAAAGATTTAGACCAGGTGCGGTGGCTCACGCCTGTAATCTCAGCACTTCGGGAGGCGGAGGTGGGCTGATCACTTGAGGTCAGGAGTTCAAGACCAGCCTGGCCAAGATGGCGAAACCCCATCTCCACCAAAAATACAAAAATTAGCTGGGTGTGGTGGTGCACACCTGTACCCAGCTACTCAGGCGGCTGAGGCAGAATTGCCTGAACCCAGGAGGCAGAGGTTGCAGTGAGCCGAGATCGTACCATTATATTCCAGCCTGGGCAACAAAAGTGAAACTCCTTCTCAAAAAAAAAAAATTTATATTAAATATTTAATACATAAAACTTAATAAATCTTGATGATACTGCTTATAATGATTGATAAGGTTTATAACAATTGTATTATAATTATTTAATTTTATTGGCTGTCAGTCCTGGCTGTATTTTAGAATCACCCATAGAGCTTCAAAAAATCATTCCCAAAATACTGTTACCTGGACCTCTTCGAAGAGATTAGGACTTAAATAGTAGCAAGGCACTTGGATTATTAAAAAGTTCTACGAGTACTTCTGATATACAAGATATAACTAGAATTTTATTCTACTATAAAAACTTATTGTAAAAAACAACTTAAAACTATAACAATAATAAGTTATTTTAGAATAAAGGCATAAAATGGAATAGTATGTAGTGATAAATTGATACTGCAGAAATATGTTTACTGATACAGAAAGACACATATAACTATATATACACACACAAAACAGTAGGTATGTTGTAATTCCATTTTGTAAAAGAAAATACATATGGACACCTATACACAGAATGAAGTTCATTTTGGTTGGCTGTGAGTATTCTTTATGATGCTTTATGCTGCTGTTTTTGCTTGCCTTTATTTTTTGTTATTTCCGAATGATTCTATAAGAACATATATGAAAAACCACAGCAACTTAATTTTGATACGGAAAAGATTAACTTTCAATAATATGAATACTTTAACATAACTAAAATATTATATTTTGAAATAGAGCAAATGTGACAAAATTTTAACAAATGGTGAATCCAAGCGAAGGATATAAAGATAGTAATATTCATGCCAGTTTTCCACAGGTCAAACATAATTCAAAATTTAAAAATTCCGAAAAAATAAATTCTTAAAGCTACTTAGAATTTGCGCCCCGCCCCATGTATTCTATTTTACTATAGGTTGATCATTTGATATAATCAATACGATAAATAAATCCTTTAACATCTTATTTAAATTAGTGTACATAAGTTAAACCAAAATCTTAGCTGAAAAAAAAAAACATGAAACACAGAAATATATGCACAAAAATATACACACATTTGTTTAATGTATGATATAGTGTATATTTTTTTAAATTTAAACTCTCCTACTATAATTGTCTAGTAACCAACAATGTATGTCTGTACTATATTTGCCAACTAATAATGTTTTAAAACAATTTTTCCAGTATAAATTCATTCATACCACATACCAAGCCTCAAAACTATCAATTCTGTAAAAGGCTCATCTCACCTCATCTAAGTCTTGGATATAAACTGGCTTTTCCTCAAAGCTGAGTGGCATTGGTTCGCTGTAGGGAATCCTTACTTCTTCATAAAGCTTGTTATTTTCTCTTTGGATTCCTTCTGGCAAAATCATCTACAAACATCAACAATAAAAATCCAGTAATAATAAAAAATAAAACACTTGCTCTGGTAAATATTCTTGAGAGAGAGAGAGAGAGAGAGAGAGAGAAAATACCACTTGTTTTATAACAAAGCACTGGTAAATAAACTTAGCTAATTTAAAAGAAAACAAATCCAAATAAAACAAAAACAAATGCAAAAAACCACTCACACAAAGCATTAACATATCAGGTATTTTACGTAACACACAGGCCACAGTATGTTGACAAATCTTAAAGTATACACTAATCAGATGGTACACCTGAATACAAATGTATTCATATAATTAGGAAAATGTACAACATACAGTATAAAGTTTAGCCAAGCAGCGAGGCAACTGATAAAACTCAAAAATACAAACTGCAGAAATAATAAAAGGGAGGGAAACATATATGTTCTGAATATCTACTATATGTCAGGAGCTTTACATACACCACATTACGTCATTTTCCCCAATACTTTCAAATAAAATTTAGCATAGTCAACTAGTGTTAGACTCATGAAGGAAACAGGGAAAATCTACACATCATTTCTTTAGAATAGACATATTATTCAACAGTAGTTATATAACAATGACATACCTTTGCACCAGCAATAAATGCTGATGTTTTCATGGCTTCCGCCTGGGAATCATACACGTGGGGATAATGTATTTTTTCAATGTCTGCATCTCTCTGCCTGCTCAGAATTGGAACACTTCTAGCATTCAGAAGTGCCTGCTCTCTGTAAATATAAAAATAGGCCTAATTTGAAATTTTTATGTTTAAAGGTAATGCATACAATAAAACAATGTAATTATAAAAAATATTGGGAGGTAGCCTTCCACCATAAAAAAGAAGAAATTAAACTACACAAAGGAAGATTTTAGGAATCCTGAAATCTTCTGGGTGACAAAATAGGATTTAGCACATTTTCAGATATTATTATTAGATAACACCACCTGGTAAGTTTGATTTAATGTTCTTTCTAATTTTGTTTTTTCACAATTCAAAGATGTTTATTTAACAAGGTATACATTTCTTTTTTGAAATGTGTTTCAGTATTTAAAGAATCAAGTAAAATAATGCTTATATTTCATTTTTCTCCTACTTCTAAATAACAACATTTTTTAAAAGGTACATTAAGCATAGAAATAAAATGTATCTCAAATAAATTTATGTAAGCTATATAAATCTTAACCTAGTGGTGTGTACACAGCACCTAAAAATAGCTTACCTCTATAATCTAAATTTCTTACCTCTATAATCTAAATTTCTTATCTACCTGGATGTGACCAAGAATATTATAATTAAGCAGACCATTGCTTTCTTATCCAGAAAATCAGGTATTCATAAAACAAACTTCTATGAAGAAAATGTGACTTTAAGTAAAAATCATCTATACTGCTGAGACTAAACTAAAAAATGATAATGATATGTAAAAGCAGCAATTACAACACAAGTATTTTTCAGCTTCTGACTTTTATTACCTCTGTATCCGCAATTCCTTAGGATCAAAGCACGTAAGTCCTTCTGAAACTTCTAAATCTTCTCCAGCCTTTTTTTCTCGTCTGGCAATTCTTTTTTCTTCACGGCGATATTGTTTCATTAACTGCTTTTCTTGTTCAGACTGAATAGTGACTTGACAACCATAATTGGGTTTAGCATTTTCTCCTAAAATTTTTTTACAATTGTCTAAGAAGCAAATTTAATACACAAAACGTTTTATAAATCTGAATATGATTTAATCTTCATGAAAACCATTTCCTTCCTCCACCCCACAACATATAATGCTCTAACAGTTCATTTTTTAAAGCTGGCACATTCAATTACATGTTTTAAGGTGAGTTTTTAAAAATCACAGTATCTAAATAAAATTACATGGTAGTTTAAGAAAAGTCAGCAGTATTTTCTTCCTACAGACTAAACAGTTCAATGTCATTCACATTAAAAATTCTTACATATAACATTAGAAACCTAAAAATTCAATTTTATCATTTGAAATTATTTGTTTATATAATTTCAATAAATATAATAATTATCAATACTAGTGTTTACTGTTAATATAGTAAAAAAACAAACTCTTTCCCTATTAGAAATAACTTTTCTCCATGTAATAGACCTTAAGTAGTTAAGTTGCACATATGTTACTACTTATTTATAGATTACATAAAATTTATTGGCAGTAGTTCAAGACATATTTGAGACAATGACTAAAGCAAATAAAGCAAAAGTATAGTCCACCTTTTTACGGAAACACAGTTTTTTTTAAAAAATGGAAAAACCAAGTGAATTAAATCTCAGTGTTTACAAAGTACACTTTAGGTCTGTGGTTTGGTCAACTCAAAATTCAGCAAAAATTTTCTTCCAACAGGATTACCTTCTGTGCTTGTTTAAATCTTTACAGCAACAGTATCTTCACTTACTGAAATTCTAAAGGAACTAAAAGGAATGTAGCTGAAAGTAATCCAAGTCAATAAGCATTTATTGCATTGAGGTCCTACTCCGTTCTAGCCACTGCAGCTAGGCTAGGAGGACAATGAAGAATGAAACTTGGTCCATACCCTGACAGAGCACAGTGCAAACTATTTTATCATATTCCAACATCCAATATAGAACAGAGAAGGAATTAAACATAGCATCAAGATGGGAAAAATAGCTTTCTAATTCATTCTAAGTCGAATCTTCACTATTCTCAGACAATTGTTACTGATCCATTACATGATTCTGGATATAAGTCATTAAAATCTCAATCATAGGGAAAACTTCTACAATGGCTTTATAAGCCTTAAAAAGGAAAATATGTCTCAGAATTATGAAATAAAATAAAATCTCATCTATATTAGGACTAAATTTTACAGTTCTGAAATAAGCATTTTTCTAAGTTTTTTATTTCTTGTTCTCCAATTAAGTATTACATACCTACTATAACAGAATTTATAATTAGCGTTCAGTGTTAGAAAAAGAATGCAACATTCTGCCAATTTTTACATGTACTCTGAACTCTTCATAAAAGTTAACTTATCTCCAAAATTACACAATCAGCAACACAGATACCGAGCCGAATGTTTAAAAATGTGTTTATCAGAAACGAATGTTAAAGATTTTAAGCATAAAACTGTAAATACTTTAGGTGACATACTAAATGCTATGCTAATGTAATTAACATTTTAAGCAAATGTGACAGTAACAAAATACTATACATACTTATGATCATCTAAATAAAATTAAAATTATAAGAAGAAAATATGTCTACCTCATAGAAAGCTTAAAAGGTCCTAATTAGAACATACTGGAATCCTGTAAGGCTGAGTATAATAGGCTATTTCAAAAAATCAAGTTGTAAAGCAGTGAATGTTTAAATGTATGGTTCTCCTTGCTGGGTTAGGTTAACTGTAGAGACTGACATGCAAAAATGAAATGAATATCCTTAACAGTAATTCTAACACAAAGTTATTCTGAAGAACTATGTACAGGCTTGTATCCTTTTAGAACAGTTGTTTAAAAATGTGTAGCACCTCCCCCTTGTTCTCATGCTCCTTCTCCTGATATGCAAGATGCCTGCTCCCCTTTTGCCTTCTGCCATGACTGGAAGCTTCCTGAGGCCTCCCCAGAAGCAAAAGCTACTAATGCTTCATGTACATCCTGCAGAACTGTGAGCCAATTAAACCTCTTTTCTTTATAAATTACCCAGTGTCAGGTATTTCTTTATAGCAATGTCAGAATACACTGATACGAAAAGGGTATTGATTCTAAGAAGCTATCCTAATAGAATAAAACTTATGAAATCAACATAATAAACATAAATAAAACTCATCATCTACAGTTTCCAAAAAATATGTAAAGCTGGACTTATATTAAACTTTACATTAATAAATTACTACTATTAAAAGCTGGAATCAGGCTGTGCACTGTGGCTCACACCTGTAATCCAAACACTCTGGGAGGCTGAGGTGGGAGGACTGCTTGAGGATAGTAGTTCAAGACTACCCTGGGCAACATGGGGAGACTTCAGCTTTACCAAAAAAAAAAAAAATGTTTTTTTCTTTAATTAACCAGGCATGGTGGTGCACACCTGTGGACCCATCTACTCGCGAGGCTGAGATGGGAGGATAGCTTGAGCACAGAAGGTTGAGGCTGCAGTGACCCCTGATTGTGCCACTGCTCCCTAGCCTGAGCAAGAGGGAGAGGGCCTGTCTCAAAAACAAAAGCTAGAATCAGTAAATATCTCTTTATTAATATTTAGGAGACTGACAAAATGAAATACCAAATTCTCAGAATTTACATTGCAGGACTAGATATTTAAACTCATTTATTTTCCTTGGCAGACACCCATTTTAGATGCTCATAAACCTTGCTGGCTTACTGCAATTTCTGATTATATACTATTCAACGGGTGTGATATGGTTAGGCTTTGTGTCCCCACACAAATCTCATCTTGAATTGTAATCCCCATAATCCCAGGTGTGAAGGGAGGAAGCTTGTGGGAGGTGACTGGATCACAGGGGCAGTTTCCCCCATACTGTTCTAGTGATAGTGATTGAGTTCTCAGGAGATCTGATAGTTTTATAAGTGTTTGGCAAGTTCCTCCTCCACATACTTCTCTCTCCTGCCACCATGTGAAGTAGGTCCTTGCTTCCCCTTCACCTTCTACCAGTTGCCTGAGGCCTCCAGCCATGTGAAACTGTGAGCCAATTAAACCTCCTTTGTTTACAGTGTGAGAACTGACTACTACAAGGTGGGAGTGCTCTTGGATGAAGGCAGAGTAGAAGTGTTCAATACACTTAAAGAATAAAGAGACCTGCAGACAAAGTTGCTAAATTCATATTTTTCAAGTTTCTTACAATCTCAAAGGAACTTGAGGCTCTGAGAACATTTATTAGTAATCAAGAGAATCTGTAAGAAACAGAAAATCTGTCAGAAATTTTAGATTTAAATCATAGCTGTTTTTATCATTTCCTTTTAGTGCCATAATCATTAATGTAAGAAAATGAGGACGTAACTTGCAAGAAGGAATAGATGTTGAATAGTTTGAAGACAGTTGCCAAGTTTCTTATGCTCATATACTTTTTTAAAATCCAAAACTATTTGTAAGGCTGGCAAAAAATACTGTGGTAAAGGTAAAAAAAAAAAATTGTTTTCCTATTTATCACTTAAAACCTGAGTTTCACATCAGCTATGTTTTAAGTCAAGCTTTTATAAAAATAATTTTTTTCCTAGACAACTCTTCTTAATTTTTCTGGGTTTTAAAAATATATGTAATATATGATACTATCAGTGTTCAATTTGCTCAGTGTGATAATTGTATTGTGCTTAGACATGTGCTAAAGATTTTATAGGCAAAGTATCATGATGTCCAGAACTTCCTGTCATTGTTGAGCAAAAATTTAAACAGTAGGTGTGTGTGTAAAGGGTCTAGGAAGAGCAAAGTGTCAATGACTAATGAATCTACGTGAAGGGTAAACAGTGATCATTGTATTATTCTTGTAACTTTAACTACAGGGTTTGAAAGTTCTCAAAATAAAAAGTTGGAGAGAAATTACACTACTACTTGGCCCATAGTAAGTATATATGTATTTTCTTTTTAAAGAAAATTTGCTATGCAGAACCTCTTTAGTTTAATTAGGTATCACTTGTCAACTGAGTAAACAGACAAACTACAGAATAAAAGAAAATAATTGTATCTGACAAAGGCCTAAGATCCAGAATCGATAAAGAACTTAAATCAACAAGCAAAAAACAAATAACCACATTAAAAAATGGGCAAAAGACATTAACAGACACTTCTCAATAAAAGACATACAAGCAGCCAACAAATGCTCATCAACACTAATCATCAGAGAAACGCAAATCAAAACCACAATGAGATACCACCTCACACCAGCCAGAATGGCTATAGTTAAAAAGTCAAATAATAACAGATGTTGGCTCAGCCACAGAAAACAGAGAACATTTATATACTGTTGGTGGGAATGTAAATTAGTCCTGCCACTACGAAAAGTAGTTTGGAGATTTCTCAAAGACCTTAAGACAGTTACCATTTGACCCAGCAATCCCATCACTAGGTATACACCCCCTACAAAATCAATCATTCTACCAAAAAGACACACAGACTCACATGTTCATCACAGCACCATTCACAACAGGAAAGACATAGAATCAACCTAAGTGCCCATCAACAGTGGATTGGATAACAAAAATGCAGTACATATGCACCATGGTACATATGCATTGTTCTGTTTCCTGAGTTGAGTCCATAGTAGTATTTTTCTTACAACTTACTACATAATAGCTGTCATTTTACAGTTAAAGAAGCTTTAGAATGTTTCAATTAATCATGACTACATGATGTCCTTTGCAACAACATGAATGCAGCTAGAGGCCATTATCCTAAGCGAATTAACATAGAAAACCAAATACCTCGTGTTCTCACTTATAAGTGGGAGCTACACACTGGATATACACAGACACAAAGACGAAAACAAGAGACAATGGGGATTCCAAAAGGGCAGCGAGAGGGAGTAGGGAAAGGGATAAACAACTACCTGTCAAGCACTATGATCACCATTTGGGTGACAGAACCCATATCCCAAACCTTAGCATCAAACAATATACTCTTGTAACAAACCTGCAAGTGTACCTCCTATATGCAAAATAAAAGAAGAAAATTTGTGTATTCTAAGTAGTTTTAACTTTTACCAAAAACTGCCATACCCAAACACTGCCCTCCTATTTAGGTCACTTATGTTTTTTCATAATGTGCCATATCTAAAATCTATTTAACAGAGTAATATCAGTGAATTATATAATAGGCCAAATAAAAATTAATTACATTAAAAACATTTGCTAACCAACGAATCTTTCCTTTAAATTACAATGACCGCTGCATACTTTCTTACCTTGAAGAACCTGAAACCTATGATCATTTGAAGAATTAAGAAATCTATCCACAATTGTAATTCTGTTCTGGAGGAGTTTCTCAATAAGTTCAAGTCCTTCAGGTCCCAGCAGTTCAAATAGCTTATAAAAAGAGAAAAAAGTAACAAACATCTGTTACCTCAAAGTTTAACTTTCTCAAGTTATTAACAACCTATTCAACAGAGTTGTAAAGCCAAACTAACATAGAAATACTCAAAACGTTTAACAAAAATTGTAACTTAAACTAAGAAAAATGACTCTTCACATTGCCAAGAAGCTTTATAAAGGCTATCTGCAATTATATAATTACAAAACATTATTCAATTTTTAAAAATTAAGATTTGAATATATAACTCCAAATCACAGAATAACAAATTCTTGGTATAACCAAATGAAATTCTAAAATAATTTGCTCTTCAACATATCATTCTGGTTTTCCCAAATAGAGTCCAGAGTACTATTTTTCTTGCAACTTACTATACAACAGCTGTCATTTTAGTGTTAAGGAACCATTAGGATGTTTTAATGAATCATGACTTCATGCCAATTTTTTACATGTATTTTAAATGCCAAATAAATCTGAAATCTAAAACACAGTGCTGTAAGTGCTTTACATAACTTTATGAAAATTTCCCAAGCATATCCCACTCTCCTAGGCAGAGCAGTTATCAAAGATTAAGTTGATGTCAGAGGTAGAGAACCAGTGTTAGGATTCAGAGAGTTTCAACTACATAATTACACAATATAACTATTCTAGGAAGTCTCTAGGTTTCCGCAAGTATGATCTGGGAAGATATATATATACACACACACATATATATATATTTTTCTTATTTCTATATATATTATATATAATATATATTTCTTGTTTAGAAATATAATACTCAGGCCGGGCGCGGTGGCTCAAGCCTGTAATCCCAGCAGTTTGGGAGGCCGAGACGGGCGGATCATGAGGTCAGGAGATCGAGACCATCCTGGCTAACATGGTGAAACCCCGTCTCTACTAAAATATACAAAAAACTAGCCGGGCGAGGTGGCGGGCGCCTGTGGTCCCAGCTACTCCTCGGGAGGCTGAGGCAGGAGAATGGCGTGAACCTGGGAGGTGGAGCTTGCAGTGAGCTGAGATCCGGCCACTACACTCCAGCCCAGGCGACAGAGCGAGACTCCGTCTCAAAAAACAAAAAAAGAAATATAATACTCTAATTTTCCATATGAAGATGACATATTAACCAAACTATAACCATTCTCAGAGAATCCACACAAATAAAACCATAAAATTTTATTTGGTGTATAGGGACATTAAAAGTTTAATAAACATTTTCTTTTTGCTGTTCATTTTACTGAAATTATGCACACAAAGGGACAATAAAAGAAACAAAATGAATTATTAAGAATAGTCCTGTCCAATCAATTTTAATTCTACTGGCCAGTATTTTTTACTGAACACATTATATACCAGGTACTATGATAGGCATTTTGCTAATCCTATCAAGCAAAGTCTCCTAACAATATTTTCAAATTAAGATATTACTATTGTTATTTTTGGACTTAAGAAAATAAAGCTTTAGAAGATTTACACAAATTGTCCAAAGTTACACAACTAATAGTAGGGTTTTTTGAAATGACATCTATCTGAATCCAAGCCTAAACAACTTTCCACTGCACTACACTAACACTTTTGAATATTTTCCAGAAAACTGTGGCCCCGAAATATGAAATATATTGTAATAAAAAAGATACCAAATTAGGTAATATAAAAGATATTGAGGTTAAGAAACTTTTGTAAAGGGAAACAGCAGAGGAAGCAGTAAAGAGGCAAGACAATAGGAAAATGGTCAAGAAATATGAAAGTAAACACATAACTTGTAACACCCACCCTCCCTCCCCTCAAAAAAAAAGGTATTAATAATATGTGGCAGAAAGAGTTTAAGACAGACAAGGATAAAGGATGCTGGTAGACAAGACATAATGTCTGTGTTCCCTTACTCTCCATACTTCCTCAAAGAATCACCCATCAATAAAGTATAACATATGGAGTCCTAGAAGTCCCAGACACTCAGGGGGCCCACATGGTCAAAATTATTTTCATGATAATACTTAGCTATTATTTGCCTTTCTTATTCTGTTGACATTTGTACTGATGGTGCAAAAGCAATGGTGGGTACAACTGCTGGTGCCTTAGCATAAATCAAGCTAATAGTGTCAAATGAATTAGTAATTATCGTATTCTTCACTGTCACACAAGCACAACTACAAACAACAACAACAACACAAAGCCAACTTCACTTAAGAATGTCCTTAAGTAAAGCAATAAAAATTATTAGTTTTGTAAATTTCACATCATATGTATCTTTTCTAATATTCTATGTGACAAAAGGGGAAGTATGTATAAAATCACTTCTATATATAGAATAAATGTATGTATAAAAGTATTTTATAAAAATTTTATAAAAGTATGCATAAAATTGCTAGTGAAGAGGCTTTCTATGTAACATTGTTTTGATTTAAAAGAATGACTAAAGACAAATTGATTATTCAGAATGGGATATCTGACATTTTCTCAAAAATGAAAGTGAGCTTCCTACACAAAGGAAAACAACTGAATGTAATTTATTGCCAATGCTAAAATGCAAGTTTTCAAGAGAAAATTAGAATTTTGAAAAACTTGCATTCCACTGTAAATTTGACCATTTCCCAATACTTAAAACTTTTCTGATGATACCAGTGATAATATTAATGAATGAATTCTTTTTATATTATATAATCAAATATGTCAACATTTAGAAGATTTGCATGACTCAATCAATTATTTTCCAAAAGACTCATATATGACGTCATAAAATTATACATGGGTAAAAAAAAAATCCATTAAAAATGAGAACACTAATAGATTTTCAGGAAAACTAGTATAAAAATTCATTGATATGCCAGATTTTCATTGTAACTAAACTGAAAGAAACTACTGTTTGTCAAGTTTTAATTTAGCATCAAAAAAGAATATTAAAAATTATTTGAGAAGGCTTTTAAAATATTATTCTCTTTTCTAACTGCATATCTATGTGAGCCTGGATTCCCTTTGTATGTCTAAACCAAAAATATGTATGATAGCAGATTGATTAAAGAAGCAGGTATGAGAATCTGCTTTCTATTAAACCAGACATTAAAAAGATTGCAAAAATTTAAAATAATGCTACTTTTCTTTCTACATTTTACAGTTTTGGAAAATACAGTTAATTTTCATTAAGCTGTTAACTTCTATTATTGTTGTTATTTTAAAATGAATAAATATACGCAGTCATGTGTCACTTAATAACACATATCCTGAGACATGAACCACTAGGTGATTCTGTGGGAACATCATAGAGTGTACTTATACAAACCTAGATGAGGCAGTATTCTACACAGCTAGACTATATGGTGTAGCCTATTTCTCTTAGGCTACCAACCTATACACCATGCTACTATACTGAATACTGGAGTCCACTGAAACACAATGGTAAGTGTTGGTGTGTATATGTAAACACAGACAAGATACAGTAAAAACTACTGTACAAAATATAAAAAGTGGTATAACTGTATACCTAAAGAGGAGCCTGCAGGATTGGAAGTTACTCTAGTTGAGTCAGTGAGTAATGAGTGAATGTGAAGGCCTAGGATGTTACTGTACTACCGTAGACTTTATAAACACTGTTCACTTTGGCTACACTACATTTGTTTTTTCAAAAAAAAAAAAAAAAAAACTTCGATAAATTATATATGTTTTTACCAATAACTTTCATTTTTGTATTTGTTTTTGTTGTAAGCAAGAGAGGAAAGGTAATATTCCTAATATCATTTGGCAATTATCAAAGTAAAAACTGCTAACACTTATTTTGCTTGTTGAAATAATCTTAAAAGGGTAACATTAAAAGATTGGACATCAGTGTGAAACATTTCACGAAGTATTGATTCTTTCATTGCTATATTGCATTTTGGCTAAAAATAATCAAGCTACTTGATTATTTTTAGAACAAAGGAAAGCAACATTCTGTTTCCTAATGTTGATTTTTTTTCTGTCATCTGTGGCTGCATCACTGAAGAAAAAGCTCAGGACAATTTTTTGTTATTGTAAATCCTCGTTGTTAAGTAAGATTTTTATTTCGGCATTTGGCCTCTTTAATTGCATAACAGCAGTAACAGCAAAGTCAGTTTTGTTCATATGAGCCATTGGAAACCTTGTCAGATACAGGACCCAAGTTCAGAAGGCCATTAAGGCCTGGCTGCCCCTTACCCCTCTCCACCCTTGCTGGAGCTTGCGAAAACCCGGTGGACTGATTTTGGAAAGCCCTTTAAACGTGTCATTTCATTAATGGTGCTTTCTTTTGGGATTGGGCTGTTGACCTAATTTGTGATGAACAAAACCCGGCCAAATCATGCAGCCTCCCTCTAACTCCCCATGGGAAAGTGTTAGAGAAAAGTGTTTCAGCAACATCACCCATTTAAGTTTCATAACCCCAGCTAATAAAGATGATAAGAAACACCCAAGCTATCAACTAGGGTTTTCTGAGGGCAGAAGTACAATTTAATTTTGAGCACTTGTATGTTAAACAACATGTTGTTGGCCTAGTTTGAAAGCTAATTCTAGTGTCTGTAAACGCTCAGTTCCTCCTAAATATTTGGGACAGTTTCATAACATTGTGTAGGAGGTGTATGCATCGAACCCTCTTAAACTGATCAGTTCGTGCATTCCAGGCTTTTCACAATTGTAAATGTCTTTTCCCATCCTAGTTGTGGGAGGTAGCATGGTGCAGTGAAATGGACTAGTATTTAAGAGCCAGATCTGTCTGAATTCAAATCTTGCCTCTTTATTATGTCAGTGAAAGACCTTTTGGTGGGGCAGCTAAGTGCCTGGCATAAGAAAAGTATAGACACTAATTCCTATATAATAGAAATATCCCAGATAAGTATTACAGCTATTCCAAATTTTTTGTTGTTGGGAATAGCCATAATAACTGAAGAAGCAAAGTCTCGCTGTGTTGCCCAGGCTGGTCTCAAATTCCTGGCCTCAAGCTATCCTCCTGCCTCAGCTTCCCAAAGTTCTGGGATTTACAGGCATGAGCCAC